TCAGGGAAGCCCTTCCTCTGTGATGCCCACAGGCACACTGCCCCCACCCCATGGGGAGCTCCATGGGAGCAAGGCTGTCTGGTCCCGGTCACCTCTGAAAGAAAGTCCAGGGCCAAGAGGGTGCTCGGTAAATGTGGAAAAGGGACCTGCGCCTGCCAGCCTCCTCCCCCTCCTCCCCCTGCCCGCTCCCCACTCGGCCTCCAGAGCTCCCGATCTGTGAAGGGAAGTGGATGCCCTGCCTGCCTTAGGGTCCCACTGCACCTCCACCTCCCTGCACCCTCGGGCCCAAGAGACAGAACTGTGTGTCCATCTCCACACGACCCTCCCTCCACATTAAGATGTGCATGACAGCAGGCCTCGCAGGGCAGCAGATTCAAGTGGCAGCTGCATCCTTTTCCAAGGAGGGAGGGAGAGGGCCTCGGGGAAGTAGAGGCCCAGCCAAGCCTGTGGTGTGTGTGTGCAAAGACCTGGCCTCCCCAGGCCCGGGCACAGGGCCTCCAGCTGCAGAGCTGACCTGTCCAAGGTCTTCTTCATGCCCCCCACAAATCCCAAACATCCCTCGGAGGTCTCCCGTCGCGGCCTGCTCAAGGCCAGGCCCACAGAGAGAAGTCAGTACCTGTATTCTGAGCAGGCATGCCCTCTTTCAAAAGGCTGCCCAAATAAAAACCCCACTGAAGAGACAGTTGAGAATTCAAAGCTGCCAGAAAGAAAGGACGGGTGGGAGCCTGCCCAAGTCACACAGTCTGCTTCTTAGACAGCCTGGCACCCAAGTGCAGAGCAGCAAGAGCCATCGGAGGGGCCCCTCTTCTCTTTCTGGCCCAGCAAAGAGGGGTACTGCACAGCGGGCAGAAGTCGGGGCCAACCAGAGCCCATCCGGCTGTGCCATTAGCTCCTCCTACGAAGTGACCCTGAACAAGTGACTTCTCTGCCCCCAGCCTCAGTTTCCCCATCCACTGGCCAAGGAGGCTCGCTCTGCCTGTCTCCTCCAGAGAGGACCTGCTGTAAGGTAAATCAACGCCTCCCTCTCGCTCCCTCCCGCCACCAGCCACGTGCATGGGGCAGGCCACAGGACCAGTGCCAGCTGGGCACAGAGACCTCTCAGGATGTTTGGGATTCCTCCTGCCTGAAAGACAGATTGGCTCAAGGCTGGAAGCCTGTGCCCAGCCTGCCCTAGGGAGACCACAGCCTGGTCCACTGCTTCCCGACTCACTAGACTTGGCTGGGATGCATCCCCCCTGGGACCCCTAGGAAAGCCTCCCAGATGCCATTTGGATGCGTCTGCTGGAAGGCCTCTAGGCAGAGACGTTGGCAAATGCCCATTGTGCCCCAGTGCCAGCCCGTGCCTGGCACCAACTCCACAGCAGTGGACTTCAGCCCCACCCCCACCTGTGGCCCAGAGGCCCCTTTTCCTCAGATCTCACAGGATGTAGCCCAGTGCCTTGAAATGATCCAAATCTGGATTTCCCTGTACCACCCAATCCACTAAAAAGAACCTCCTTCAAAGGTCTGAGGACATGACATGAGGCTGTAGCTGCTTCAAGCCCTCTGCCACCAAGGCAAGGCAGGGCCTTGGAGCTGGACCTGCCCACGTTTAAATCACAGCTCTGCCACTCTCTTGCTGAGTGACACGGGTCCATCACTTTAGGTCTCTTGACCCCAATTTCCTCCTCAGCTCACGGGGTGGTTCAAGGACTCAGCTGATCATGCATTCGAGGTGCTCAGCAGGTCCCTGGCATCTAATAATGCACAATCAAAGGCAGCTTAAACCCTAATGATAAAATGGTTATTTTCCCAATTGCATTTCTAGCCAGATGACCTCGCCGGATGGCGGAGAGGATGAACAGACACAGCACGTGCAAAAACACTCAGCACGGCACCTGGCACGTAGCACTGAACATGGTAGCTGTGAGGATTATGGTTCATAAGGAGGCCTCAGAAAGATGAGGCTGGGGAACACTGCAATGTACCACCTGTTCTACCTGCTCAAAGTGGGTCAGGCTGGAGCTGTGTACCCAGCTGTTGCCATGGCACCCAACACACAGGGAAACACTCTAGCTAGGAGGGTGGCTGCTGCAGGAGTGGAGGCTTGGGCCTGCTTTGCTCAGACACCACCCATGCTGCCACCACCCCCACTCCCTGGGACATGTCAGGGGTCTCCGGGGTTATGGACAGTGTGCTAATAAGCTAAGCAGGTCTCGTCACCCCTGACCCTACCCCACCTCCAAAACAATAGGGCCTTGGCCCTCTGGAGAGGTGGGCTGTGAGGAGGGGCTCCCAGGCTGCAGACCAGGGTGTGTGGCATGGGAGTGGAAGGGTAGGAACCCAGGAACCCTCCTCTGCTGGGCAAAAGCCAAAGCAGCTGTAAAGCAGCCTCAGGTCCCAACGTGTGTGTTCCCTCCAGACACACGTGCCCAGCAGCAAACAGGTACCCAGAGCCCGTAAGTGCCAAGTTGTGTGGGGTTCAATGTCAGCTCTTCCCTCCTCATGCCACTCAGGTTTCATCCAGGATGAGGGCTGGGAAAGCCTGTTTAGGCAGGCTCAGCCGGGTTCAGGGAATCCATGGCCCCTTGCCAAGAGGGAAGAAGGGGAGAGAGAGGTGAAATCCAAACACTGTGGGCTGAGACCTGGAAATTTCCAGGCTTTCCCGGATGAGGGGGCAGGTTTAGGGCAATTGAAAGGCTGACAGGTAGGGTGACAGTGGCCCCAGGGCCTGGGAAGCCAGCTGAGACCTCAGCCTGGGGCTGAATACTAATTCTTCAGTAGGATCCAAGACCCTGCCCCCAGCCCTCAGGTCAGAAGTAGGCCCTCTGCTGACTCCACCTGGTCCACCCAAGACCTAGGAGGGGCTGGGGCCTGGGCCCCTCTACCATAGTAACAACAGCTGCTGCAACAGTCTGCCTGGTCAGACATGGTATACACAGTACCCATTCCCCATCACAACTCTAGGGGTGGGTATGACTTCTCCCATTTCACAGAAGAAGAAACTAAGGCTCAAAGGCAGAACAGGCTAAAAGCACATCCTGAGTTTGAATCTGGGCTCTGCTGTATTAACGCAGAGAAGTCACTCCCTCCTTGAGCCTCTGAGCCACCTCTATAAAATGGGAATAACAACAGTACAGGCCTCCCCCAACCTCCACTCTGCTCCATGGCATAGTCAACAGGTTAAGTGAGAGGTGCCAGTAAAACAGGGAGCAAAGCACCAGTAATTGCTGGTTCTTGGAATCAGAGAGGTTAGGTAACTTGCCCTAGGTCACCCGGCCACTCACTGGCTGACCCCAGGCCCTAGCTCTGAGCACCACAGCCCTTTCCCAGAAAGGCTGGGCTACTCTGTGGGTGGCCACGGGATCACAGGCTTCCCAGGCAACGAGGACAGCCTCCCACCCCCACAGAAAAGGGCAGCCCTTGTCTGAATTCCTCAGATAAGCAGCTCCCAGCCTGAGCGGACCCAAGTGCACAGAAAAGACACCCCACCCTGTCCCACACTGGAGATTCCTAAATCTGGGTTAGGCTGTATGCCTCCTCTCCCTCCTCCCAGCAGAACATTTGACCACCAGATTCATCCAACAGGTCTCCAAACAGGCCAAGTTCAGTTGACAACTGCAAGCCACTTACTCCCTCTTTCTGGGCCTCAGTTTCTCCATCTGTAACAGGCACCCCATCTCAGAACTGTGAGGCAGCTCCAGCTAACTGGGCCCACAAGGAGGCCTGAGGAGCAAAGGGACAGACCAAGGAAGGGAGCCAGTGGGTCACAGGCACTGGGCCAGGCCCTGCACCGCATTCTCTCTGCTGAAACTTCTTCACAACTGTGACAGAGAGACCTGTATTGGGCCCACAAAGTGGCCGAGCTAGGACTCAAACTCCCATCTGTCACACTCCAGGACTATGTGACCCCAGATGGGCCCAGGCAGTGGGCGCAGCTTGGGAACTCAGCCGCCCTCAGCAATGAGCCGGGCAGCTGGACCTGCAGGATGGGGAAGAACACAAAAACTAAACTTGACCGAGCCTCTTTCTTTCAGAGAGGGCAGCAGCCTCCTTGACAAGGGCATTTGCAATGCAAAGCAGTCCAGCTCCAGCCAGAAGAGGGCAGTGACTCAGAGGGGGCTGGGCAGGCCAAAATCCAGCCACCACTCTCCAGCCAGACCAGGAGTGCCTGGGGCTGTACCTTCCCAGGAGCCAGGGAGTGCCAGGGAACCTGTGGCTGGCCCGGGCTCTAAATCATATGACAGCCCGAGTGGCCAGCTGGGTGCAAGATGCCCTGGAACACTCCTCCCCTTCTCAGCCCTTCGAGGCCAAACCCCACTGGGCTCTTCATACAAGTCTGCAGAATGGGCCTACTGTGGGCTGTGTGCAAGGCCCCATGAGGGGGCTGAAACAACAGACCCCCAGGTATCCGGCTGGTCACCTGCAGATGGGTGCCCAGCACCCTTCCAGCTTCCTCAGGCCTCAGACCTCTCAGATCACTCAGTCCTGCCTTGTGCAAACCTGCCCCAGACACACATAATCTCCAGGACTCTCTGGACCCCAAGAGGCACTTCCACACTCGCCAAGTGACTAGATCTGGCTCATTAGCCCCCTTCCCTGCAGGGATCCCTGCCCCAGCTCCTACCTTGACGACAAGCTGACAAAATCCCCGCCATCCAGCAGCCGGACCTTGCAGAAGAGGACCCCATTCACGAAGGGGACCGCAGTCAGCTCCTCCAGGGTGAAAGTGGTTTGGAATTTGAATTTCTTCTTCTTCATCAAAAAAGCCATGAGCGAGTTCCCTGAGTCTGAAGCCCCGAAGGCCAAAAAAAGGGGGGGAGCCAGAAATCCCCAGGATTCCTTTCCCTACACCACACCCCCTCCTCAAAACACCAGAGCCGGATCCCGCCCAGATGGTAGCTGAGGCGGCAGAGCGGATGGGGATCTGAGTCCAGAGGGCCCTGGTCTGAACTACCAGTCCAGTTCGCAGGCCGGCTGGCTTCACCCTCGGGGAGCTGGGGCTTGGAGGGGTTCGGAGTGGCCGGGGGCTTCACCGGCATGTAAACACTGGGGCATGGCCCAGGAGTCAAGGGAAGGGGTGGCGGGCGGCGCGCAAGCGGCCGCGCTGGCGGACAGCATCCCGAGCCGCGGTCCCTGGGGAGCTCACGCCGCGCGACTGGACGCGGCGGGCGGACCGGTGAGACTGAGAGCGATGGGCGGCCCGGTGAGGCCGAGGGCGGCCCCGCCCCCGCCCCGCTGGCGGCCGGGGGTAGGCGCCCACGCCGCGCCCACGCCGCGCCCACGCTCCCGCTCCTGGGTGCCAGGCAGCCGCACAGGTAAGTCCGGGGAGGCTGAGGGCACCCCCAGGGGGCGGCCGGGAGTTCTGGGGGCCTCTCCGGGAGGCGCGTCGGGGACGCTCCGGGCCAGGAACGTCAGGCCACTGCCCCCTCCCGGCGGGCACCGGGCCGGGCTCCAGGCAGCAGGGGCGCCGCCTCCTCCTCGGTCTTGGGTCCTGCTCCGCGGGTCCCGCTCCGCGGGCCCCGGCGGAGCTGAGGCGCCCCTCCGGCCGGCCGGTGGCGCCCACCTCACCCACCTCACCCGCCGCCTCTGGCCAGCACCCCCGCGAGCAGCAGCGCCGCCGCCTGCGATCCCGATGCCACCGCCCGCCAGACGCTGCGCGGCCCAGCTCGGAGAATGCCGAGGCCCAGCGCGGCCGCCCGCGGAGCCGCCGCTGAGCGCGGGAGGGGCGGGGCGCCGGGGGCTCAGCCCGCCCACGATTGGGCGGCCCGGCGGGGCGGGAGCGGAGTGCGATTGGCGGACGGCGGCGTGGGGCGGGACTCGCGGGAGGCCGCGGCAGCTCGAGGCGTTCGGATTGGTGCGTCGCCCATCTGGGCCCGCCTCCTCGGTCCGGGCGGAGCGGAGAGAAAAGGCTAGGGGCCCTGGGGAGGCAGTGGGAGGTCGCGGGGCGGAAAGCCGGGGCCGGCAGGCCGGCAAAGAGAAGGGCGCGAGCAAAAGAAAAGGAGAAACAATGACGAGAAGAAACAATATGAGCACTATGGCTGAAGTGGCCCTCCAGTGTCCTTCCAGATTTGAGTTCATTGACGAGTAGATCAGGCCCGGAAGGTAGCGAGTCCCATTTTTCAGAAAACACACCCAAGAGAGGTGGCCGGAACTAGACCATGCAGGTGTTTGGCTTCGAATCTCTATTTCTCAGCACTGAGGAGGAAAGTGCCTGCAAAGGCTTCGCCAGGGCTTGAGTTAAAGCAGTTCATCACGCAACCTGTGATAGAACCATCTTCTCCCTTTCCAAGCTTCTATCAAAGCCTTTTGTTGTTGATTAGCTTCTTACCTAGTTATGGCTGGTCTCCCTGACTGCATTAACTGCCCTGGACACAGAGACCAATTCAGGAGCTTTTTATTTCCCAGGCCTTCAACATATTGCAGTTCATTGATTCAGTCCCCAAATGTTTAGGTGCCTCTGAGCCAGGCTTGGATTTAGGAGTGAGACTGGTGGGCCTGCCATCTCCAACCTCGCCAAGCTCAAGATCAGGTGGAGAAGCAGACAGGGACACAGGCAGAGACAAATCTGGTGGATGAGGACTGTAATGGGGGACTTAACAGGGAGCTCAGTGGAGGCAGGGGTGGAGGGGAGGGGACTCAGAGAGAATGCCTCACAAAGTTATCCAAGCCACTGGCAGGATGCATACCCTGAGTCATGCAGGGTCTAGGCAGAGGGAGCCTCAAGAGGCCTGGCAACCAGAGAGTGCAATGCCCACAGAAAGCTGTGAGTACCTCCATGCTCCTGCGTTGTGGCTCTTTGAGAGATGCAGGAGGCGAGAGGTATGGCTGGAAGGCCTGTAATGGCTGGATCTTGCAGAGTCTTGTAGATCAGAGGAAGGAGGGGAGCTACGCACACGTTTTGAGCGGGAGAGTGACCCAGACAGATTTGCTTTTTGTTAGAAGAAGGTTGCTCTGACTACAGGTAGTGTGGAAGAGAGAAGATGGGAAACAGGGGTGAGGGGCCTGTTGTGGTGATCCAGGCCAGAGATGATGACAGCGGAACCACAACACTGCAGGAAAACTGGAGTCCGAGAAGCATTTGAAAGACAGAATCAAGTGCACTTGGGGATGAGTTCGGTTGGGCCATGTATCTGAGGACTCAGATTTCTGATTCCCTCCTGATTCCCAGCCATAAAATGGGTGGCAACCTGTACTTCTCTCCAGTTTGTCCCATAATTTGAAAAACACAGTTAGCCAGATAGGAGAAGAATGATAATAGCAGCTCCCAGTACTTTTATGTATCCCCATGTACAGCCAGGGAAGTTGAGGCCCGGAGAGTTTAAATTACTTGACTAGGGTCCTGACCCTGGAGCACAGGCATTAGAGTGCTAAGCTGTGCTGCTCACACTGGGGTAGGAGTGGGGGTTCTCACTAATCCTGGCTGGACCTGCTCCACAGGGGAAAGGCCTGTGGCTATCTGACCCCAGAAGGGGATTTCAGAGGAGGGAGCCAGCCAAGGATGTCCCAAGGCCTGGCTGACTTCTCAGCTATGACCGTGAGTAACCCCAGGCCTCTCCAACAGGAAGCAGGGTGGGCCTGGCTGCCAGACTTAGCTCTGGTGGGGTATTTATCTCTCTGAGCCTCTGGGCTGGGAACCCAGGAAGTTTCCCTTCCCTCATTTCCTAGATGGGTCCTGGTTAAGGGAGAGAGCTAGGTGCCAGGACAGGATGCTGCATTTGGGGCGAGACAAGCCTGAGTTAGGATCCTGGTTCTGCTGCATATTGGTAGTATGGCCTTGGTTTGAAACACCAAGGCTCAGGGACTCCAAACCGAGAGGGGGTTCAGTATGGTCTGGCTAGGATCGCTTGCCCTGGAGCCAACAGAACTGGGTCCGAAATCTGGCTGACACAACACCAACACCTGTGTCACACACACTTTGGGTATAGTTTTGCATGCATAGGAAGGAATCTTGAAGGAGACACTCTAAACTTTCCCATCTCTGAGCCACAGTTTCTTCGTCTGTAAATTAGGAATAAGAATATCAACCTTTGGGACTTCCCTGGTGGTCCAGGGGTAAAGAATCCACCTTCCAATGCAGGGGACAGGGGTTCGATCCCTGGTCAGGAAACTAAGATCCCACATGCCGCGGGACAACTAAGCCCTGGTGCCACAACTACTGAGCTCGTGCTCCACAACTAGAACCCGCGTGCCGCAAACAACGGGGCCCATGCACTCTGGACCCCGCCTGCCACAACTAGAGAGAGAATAAAAACCCACACACCACAACTAGAGAGAAGTCCACGCCACAAACAGAGAGAAGCCCGCGCCGCAACGAAGACCCTGAGTGCCACAACGAAGACCCGATGCAGCCAAAAATATAAAGAAAATAAAGAAAGAGAATAAATAAATATTTAAAAAAAAAAAAAAAGAATATCAACCTTTCCAGAAGAGGCTGTGCCTGCAAAAGGCTCAGGCCTGGAGGGACGCGGGGATCTGAGTGAGAAGTCAGCAGGGAGCTCCAGGCTGGTACTTCCTTACTTCCCCAGCCCCCTAAATTCCCAAGCATAGCCTGTCCTTCCTCCCTGAGGCCCTGACCGGACATATGAGGAAACCAGTACCTAATAAGATAATTCAGACAAGTAAGTGGTCTGGAAAAGGAATCCCAGGAGAATTTGAGAGAGGATGATCGGATTGGGAGTCCTGATTTAGATGATCAAGGAAGGCCTCTGCAAGGCGTTATCTCAGCCCAGACCTACATAAGAAGGGGGCCCCAAGCACAGGAAGCTCTGGGAGCAGAGGCAGGAGCTGGCATGTTTCCAGGACTCTGTGTGCCTGGAGGGGAGTGTGTGGAGGGAGGAGAGAGAGGCGTGGAGTCAGGCAGGAGCCGGCTCACGTGGACCCTCTGGGCCTGGGAGGAGTTTAGGTTTTAGTCTAAGCCCAAAAGGACACCATGGGAGGATGTAACCAGGTTGGTGACAAGATCCAAAATACCTTTATGAAAGTGCTTTCCAGTTGTTTGGAAGGTTGTTTCCGGTTCTTTCCGTTCTTTGGAGAACGGATTGATCGACAGCAGGCGAAAACAGAGGCAGGCAGACAGGTGAGGAGGCTATTACAGCCATTCCAACGGGAAACTGGTGGCTCAGACCACGGTGGAGCCAGAACAATGGGAAGAGAGAGGGAACACTTGTGGAGAAGTGATAATAGTTACCCACTAGAACTTTTGAATATTCCCAGGATTTTGAATTTGACTGAATGGCACCAGGTTCTCCTAGTCAGGAGGTAAGTGAGCACTAAGCACTGGAATAGGAGTGAGGGAGGAGTAGAGGGGAATGGAGGAACTGCGTGGGACATCAGCCTGTAGAACAGAATCACAGCTGGAGAAAGTGGGGGTACCCTTAGAGAATCCTTACCTTTATCTGGCCCTAGACAAACTCCTGTGATGCTATCTTCTTCTCTCTCGTTACAGCATGAGCTTCACAGGATCAGACACCTCACCCATGGTGTCCCCACATCCAGTTCATGGCCTGTCACATGATAGACAGTCAATAAATGGCTGTCCAAGGGATGGATGCATATATATCACGCATATGCATATACCATACATATGTATGGATGTATATATGAATGGATAGATGTGTGGATGGACGGATGGGTGGGTGGACGGATGACCGTAGATTTAACCTTGTCATCTCCTATTTTAAAACTCCTTGGTGTTGCCAATAACTATCAAAATTCAATATGCACAAGTCCATTTAAAGTAAGTTACCCAGGGCTTCCCTGGTGGCGCAGTGGTTGAGAGTCCGCCTGCCAATGCAGGCGACACGGGTTCGTGCCCCAGTCCGGGAGGATCCCACATGCCGCGGAGCGGCTGGGCCCGTGAGCCATGGCCGCTGAGCCTGCGCGTCTGGAGCCTGTGCTCCGCAACGGGAGAGGCCACAACAGTGAGAGGCCCGCGTACCGCAAAAAAAAAAAAAAAGTAAGTTACCCAATAGCAATACTCACACATGTGTACAAAGTTACATGTGCAAGATAGCCCTGCACCATTATATATTATATGAAAATATTGGCAGCAGCCTGATGTCTGACAGTAGGAAGAGGGGGTCTTTGAGGGGAAGGACTGTGTTTTGTGCCTTGCTCCATCCTCAGCACCTGGGATAATACCCAGTACCCAACAGGGTTAAATAAATACATATTTGTGGAATGAAGGGAAGCATCATCAGTGAGATGCTATCCAGCTATTGAGAAGGTTGCTGGAGATGTGTGTGCCAAGGTGGAAGATGTCCACCCTATCATGGCAAAGCAAGCACAGACAATATATAAAGGATGAGCTTATTTTTTTTTTTGTTTTTATTTCTTTTAGGATGAGCTTATTTTTGTCAAGAAAAATAGACCTATGTGTGCATAGAAGAGAATCTTGAAGGATACACTAAATTGTTACCGGAGGCTTTCAACTAAGGAGGGGGTTTGGGGGGGAAATGTTTATTATTTTAATGAATATTCTGGGATATTGTTTGGTTTTTGTAATATGTTAGATTTATTTTATAATTTAATAATATATAATTATAAGGATATTATTAACAAAAGGCCTTCCATGCTTGTCCAGCACCCTCTGGATAAAGTAAAAGTTTCTTTTCTTTTTTCTTTCTTTTTTTTTTTTTTTTTTAGGTAAGAAGTGGATTTCTTTAGAGAGATACACATTCCATAGACAGAATGTGGTCCATCTCAAAAGGTGAGAACGGCCTTGGGAGAAACACACTTCACAGACAGAGTGTGGGCCATCTCAGAAGGTGAGAGAAAGTCAAAGGTTCTTAGAGAAAAAAAAAAAAAAGTTCTTAGCCAGGCATTCAGTCCCTTCTGGAATCAACTGCTCAGCCTCTCCCTGCCTGCCCTGCTCGGACCCCTGCAGCCCTGCTCAAAGGTCCTGGCCTTGTCCTCTTGCCCACCTGGTGACACCTACTCAGTGTCAGGCTTCAGCTCAAGCATCCTCTCCCACCCCATTCCCCCACATCAGGCACAATGTTCACTCCCTGCTCTGCGTCCCCAAGTTACCAACCATCTGTGTGCGGAGAAATGAGGGCTCGGCCTTCTGTTTTCTGTCACAATAACTGGTGTGTCCTTGGCATTCATTGGAAGGGAGGTGGGAGGGCGGGAGGAATAAACGGAAGAAAGGAAGAGAAAATGAAAGGAAGAAAGAAAGGGGAAATTGAGGTTGGGATGGAAAATGCCACTTGCCCAAATCACCCTGAGGGCAGGCAGCTACCCAGCTGGCCTGCTCTCTCAGTCACCTGACAGCCAGCACAGAGCGCCACACCAAGCCGTTTTCCCAGCGCTGCTTGCCACAGGCGCTCAGTGCTGATTCAGTGGTGACTCGGCTCCAATTATTTGCAGAACTGGAATGACAGCTGAGCCACCCCAGCAGCTGACCAAGGGCGTATCGATTTGTGCTAGGCTCCTTGGGAATATCTGAGCCAGTCACACATGAAGATAAAGGCTCCAAAGAACCCACCCACGGTGATCTGTCCTGCTTAAACCTCCCACGGCCAAGTCCACAAGTCTCCCCATTGATCAGCCAACTCTGCCCTTTCCAACCCAAGCCTGACCATCACTCGCGGAGAGTAGTCATGGTTCAGAACACGGGATCTGGAGTCAGGCAGCCTGGGTTCCAGCCCAAGGCTTACTGAGTCAAAGGGTATTTACATATTTACTGTTGAGAGATGCTGCCAAACTGCCTTCCAAAAAGTTGGACCCATTTATACTCCCACCAGCAGTATAAGACAGTGCCCGTTCCCATACTTTCTCCATCTTTACCAATCTGTTTCAAAACAAAAAAAACAAAACACCCTCTACTACCATGCTTGCATTTCTTGCACTAGCATCTTTTCATCTTGTTTTGGCAATTTGAATTTCTGTAAATTGCCTGGCTGTATCCTTTGTCCATTTTTAAAAATTTGAGTTGTCATCTTTTTGTTATTTATTTGTAGTAGCTTATTACATATTTGGATATCAACCTCTGTTATAAATGTTAAAGTATTATTTCCACTTAATCAGTGGTCACTGGACTTTGTTTATGGTGTCCATTTGCCTCACAGCAGCTCTTACCAAACCCCAGCTAAGAGATAGGAATCCACCTACTTCAGTGGAGAGAGCACTGGATTGGGAGTCAGGAACCTGGGTTTTGACTTCTACCTCTGTCATTGATTCACTGTGTGACTTTGAACCAGTCCCTGACCTCTCTTTCACTATCTGCTAAGTAAGGGCATTGAATTGAGTGGCCTCTGTAGACCTGTCTACCTCTGTGGTCTAGACAAGCACTATTAATAGAACTTTCTGCAATGATGGAAATGTTCCATCTCTGCACTGTTCAATATGGTAACCACTAGCCACATGTGGCTATTGAGCACTTAAAAATGTGACCAGGGCTTCCCTGGTGGTGCAGTGGTTGAGAGTCCGCCTGCCGATGCAGGGGACGCGGGTTCGTGCCCCGGTCCGGGAAGATCCCACATGCTGCGGAGCGGCTGGGCCCGTGAGCCATGGCCGCTGAGCCTGCGCGTCTGGAGCCTGTGCTCCGCAACAGGAGAGGCCACAACAGTGAGAGGCCCACGTACCACAAAAAAAAAAAAAAAGTGACTAGTGTGACTGAGAAACTGAATTTTAAACTCCATTGAATTTAAATAAAAAACTTAGATAGCCACAGGTGGCTAATGACTACCGTATTACACAGTGCAAGTCCGGACGGTCTAGATGCCCCACCTCTGAGTATGCTGTAATACAGTTTAATTAAGGCAGCAATGGAGAGTCCCTGTTTTACTTGGGGAAGGTCATTCAGCCTCTCTGAGCCTCAGTTTTCCCATCTGTCCAGTGGGGCCACAGCAGTCCCTATCTCCTGGGGTTGTTGGCCAGATTTGATTAGTGAGTGGGTGAAGGCCAAGGCCCAATGCCTGACCCGACACTGTGTAAAATCAGGCCAGATTCCCAGGTTGAAACATGAGAGTGTGTTTACCCCATTTTCATCGTGTCCAGAGACCCATGGGTGGCTTTCCCCAGAGCTGCCCGTCTTCCCCTACAGCTTCAAGGCCAGACTTATTTTCTTGAACCAGGGCTTCGGCTCCAGCATGTCTTCAGCCCAGGATTCCAGATCACTGATGGGACAAAGTCCAAACTTCAGCCTGTGTTCCCACCTCTGAGCGCTGGCCCTACCCTTGCAGTATTGTCATTAATACAACCTGCAGGTCAGCCCAGCCACCTCACCACCTTCCCCCTCTGTCTGTTGCCTACCCCGGCCTTCCAAGGTCTGCCAAGCACTTCATTCATTCATTTTTCATTCACAGATGTTTATCACGCCATCTGCTCTGGGACTGGGGCTATAGTGGCAGGCATGTAGATGTGGCCCAAGTGATGAGAGCTGTGATACACCTGGAGGTCAGGAGGAGCTCAGGGGGAAGTGAGAACACAGAAGAGGCCTGGCCTGGTGTGTGTGGTCAGGGCAGACTTTTCTGAGGAAGTAGCATGTAAGCCTGAGCCTGAGCAATGGGTAGTAGTCAGCCAGGAGAGAGGGGAGTTGGTGGAGAGGAAAGACTAAGCTGAGAGAATATAGGAGCCCAGGATCTGTGAGAGGCGAGGGCAGGCCTAGAAAGGTAGGCAGGCCCCATCCTACAGGAGGGCCTTGCAGGCCGTGTTAATGAGGTTGTGCTTTATGCTAAAGGTAAAGGGGAGCCATGGAAGGTTTTAGAGAGAGGATGATGTGATTATTCCAGGCCAGCTCCCTACGTGGCCTGGAAGATTCAGGAATTTCGGGAATCCCCTGGCAGCCTAGTGGTTAGGACTTGGTGCTCTCATTGCCAGGGGCCCGGGTTCAATCCCTGGTCGGGGAATTAAGATCCCACAAGCAGCGTGTGGCCAAAAAAAAAGGGAGTTTAGCCTCTTTAACTTTCCCTTCTCTGCCTGCCACCTGTATCTCAAGATACATCATGAACACACAGTTCCCGGGGCCTTCCTTTTGTTTAAAGCAACCTGGGTTCAAATCCCAGCCCTAAAAAAAAAAAAAGAAAAGAAAAATCCCAGACCTATCGCTTCAAGCAAGTTATTAGCCTCTTTCAGTGTCCTCACCCATAAAATGGAGATAATGACACCTTTGCACAGTTATACAAGTTATGAGGGGAAAGTGTATGGCACAGAGCCACTCTGGAAATAGAGTCCAGTTGAATTCCTTCTGTGCAAAGTCAAATGAAAGCCATGGAGGGGGCCTCTGAGCGTTTCCTGAAAGGGCAGGCAGAAGTCCCATTTCTGGGAAGTGTCACTGTGGCCCTGTTGGCCTCGACCAGGGTAGAGGGAGGGATTTGGCTGAGGCCTTTCTCAGGCAGACTGACCGTGTGCTAGGCGACCTCGAAGGGGACCTCCAGAGCTAGGCTTGGTCTTCTGAACCTTTTCAGACCCCCACCCAGCAGACCAGGAGTCGGCAGGTGGACCCTGAACTTACATAACTGGTCAGGAGTCCGACACCTTTCACCCAGTGATCAGGGCTGTGTTTACTGAGAAGAGGTGTTCCCAGGTCACCTCCCTGTCCTCTTAGGTAACTCCCTACCTCTTAGGCATACACACAGCCCTTTAGCCCTTGCTGAGCTCTGCTTATTTTATGATTTCTTAGTCACAGTGCCTGGTGTTACTGTCAGCAGCAGCTATTTTTTTTAAATTGAAGTATAGTTGATTTACAATGTTGTGTTAATTTCTGTGGTACAGCAAAGGGATTCAGTCATATATATAGATAGATAGATAGATAGATATAGATATAGATATTGAATATAGTTCCCTGTGCTATACAGTGGAGCCTTGTTGTTTATCCATTCTATATATAATAACAGCTATTATTTTTAAATGTGAAAATCATCAGTGGTACCATTTAGTGGTGAGGCACTGGGGAATCAGTGGGGGACAGGGGCTGCAGCAGGGACCAGGGTATGAGTCCCAGACTCCTTCACTCATTAGCTCCATGACCTGGAGCCAGTCGCTTGGAGACACTGAGCCTCAATTTTCACAGCTGTAAAATGGGTTTAGTGACCATACTTACCTCATGAAATTCTTCTGAGGATTCTACAAGGTAGTAATGTACATAAAGGGCGTTGTAAATTACCTGGCATAGGGGAAGCACTCATCAAATGTTAGCTATTAACATCACACCGTGTTTTGTAACCTGTCCCTTCCACTCAACTCACCATGAAACTCTTTCCAGTGACAGTGAGGAATTCAACACTTGGGATTTTCTAACGCATCCCAAACTCCTGACTGGGAACTGGGAATCCCGCATTTTACTCTCCTGCTTGGCTTTAGGGCCCCACCCTCCCAGACCTTAGTCCCCACTGCCCACTTGTAGAACAGCAGGGGAGTGGGGTGGAGGTTGATGCTTGCTAAGGGCCCTGTTCTCTGATTCTGCGTTTCAGAACTACAGACCCCAGACCCTGCCCCTCACCCTTTCCTTCCTTCCTTCCTTCAACAAATACCTCCCAGGGTTCAAATTCCAACTCTGCCACTACTTGGCTGTGTAACCTTGGACAAGTTATGTAACCTCTTTATGCCTCTGTTTCCTGATCTCTAAAATGGAAATATAGTACCTATTTCCCAGGGATGTTATGAGTAATGATTTTTGTAAAGTGCTTAGAATAGTGCCTGTTCGACTAGATCAAAAACTGAGTGCCCGTTCTGTGCCACGCAGTGGTGTAAGCACTGGGGGTACAAGTGTGAACAATTGGGTAAGAGTGGTGATCTCACTGAGGTTTTGTTGGCGGGGAGGGTTGAAATCAGCACGGCGATACAGTGATGCGGCCCCAAGGCAGGGCAGTGTTGACCATTCTCCTGCAAGGGGTTGGCTTTCAGGGAGGCCCTGATGCTCTGATGCTGTCACTTCTCTTTGTCTAAGCAACAGCTTCTGTGTATTGACCTCGCCCTGGGGGCCCATGCCCCAGGCTAAGCCCTGTGCTCCCAAGTTCTCCTCAAAAGCCAACAGCCTGCAGGGGATTCCATCACTGCTATAGACCAAATGTTTGTTTCCACCCCCTCAAAGTCATATGTTGAAACTCTAACCCCCAGCGTGATTGTATTTGACAGTGGGGACTTTTGGAGGTGCTTGGGTCATGAGGTGGAGTCCCCATGAATAGGATTAGCGCCCTTATAAAAGAGATCCCAGAGAGCTCCCCTGCCCCTTCTGCTATGTGAGGACACAGCAAGAAGACAGGCTCTCACCAGTCACCGAATCTGCCAGTACCTTGATCCTGGACTTCCCTGACTTCAGAACTGTGAGAAATAAATTTCTGTTGTTTGTAAACCACCCAGTCTGTGGTGTTTTTGTTATAGCAGCCAGAACAGACTAAGACAGTCGTTATCCCCATTTCACAGAAGAGTTCATGTCCATTGCCCCTCCCAGGCCAAGCACATAACAGGGGGCCGGTGAGTGAGTGGAAGAAAGAAGGAAGGAACAAATGAACACATAACACTACTGACACTAATCCTTCCACGGGGTAAGCATCATGCTGGGGCTCAGGAGCCCTCTTGCTCTTGGAGGGCAGGGAGCTCCATTGTACATGCTTGTGGCCACCATACAAGGCTCAGCGGAAACATCCTCTAGACTGTGCCGTTGTCACTGTCCCGTCCTCCCCCCATCATCACAGCTGACACTTCCCTGAGCCTTAGTATGTGCTCCAGGCACTGATCTAAGGTTTTTAGCAGATGAACTCTTTCAATCCTCACAACAGTCCCACGAGGTATGTCCCATTTCACAGATGAAGAAACTGAGGCACAGACAGGTGATGTCATGCCCAAGGTCATACGGGTAATCGATGATGGAGCTGACTTCAAATCCAGGCAGTCTGGATCCTGGGCCTGAGCTCTTCACCACCGTGTTATCCAGACTTTCTCTTTCTCTTTTTAGTCACTGCTCTGCTGATCTCAAATGTAGCACATGCTCTGAAGCAGACTGAAAGGAGAAATCAGTGGCAGGAGGAAAACTGGAAAATTCACAAATATGTGGAAATTAAACAGCACACTCTTAAGCACT